AAAACGCACACCTGCCCAGTTCTCATAGAAAAGTTGCACCTACGTAGCCCCCTGGATCTATGACAGAAGAGCCCAGCATGACGCCTCAAAGGTGAATCCCGAGATCTGACGAAATGATGGCAGTACCCAGCATGGCAGCGATAGAACCTACAAACGAGATGGAACATTTCGGTCTCACCGAGTCGTTGGCATATCTCAGGATTCCTGATTCAGGAGGCGTAACGAATCCTCCGAGGGTTACCCTCGTACCAGCAGCAGAGAGACCGACTATGTACACCTTCGTGTTGAAGTTTGGATGGTCCTTGAAGAACTGCGTCACGAATTCGATCCTGCAAGGAATCACGATTGATCAATGCTAAGAAGTCCTCTGGAACTCGCAATGAAAGAACATCGGGACATTCGTGCTCCAAATCAGTTGCCTAAGGACGTCCCACAAGGAGTAACTCACAAATTATTCACCACCGCGTTCAGGTCTGGCTCAATTGGTCCTTCGCTGAAGCCAGTAGGTCCCGGGGCGTCCACCCAAATGCTGTTGGCCTTCTGCGTCCATGAATATCTGGGAGAATTATGGTAAAGGAATGATCGAAGATGATCCAGGTCCTCACGGGTTCAACTCAGGCTTGTCCGTAGTCGTTGAAATGAAGCATGGTCCCTGCGCCATTGCCCCTCCGATGCTGCTGAAACCCAAACCTCCTCGGAGAAACACAAAGGTAGATGCTGTTTTTGGGTCTTCCTCAGCTTCCATAGCCACGAAGAAATATCTGAACAGAGCCGCCATGATCGACATTGTTTCCGTACAAGCATCCTACTTGTTGTCCTTACTCACTTGTATGTACCCGTATTCTTGACTACCCTTACTAAGAGGGCACAATACATTCGCGCTCCTGGTCACCCCCAGTATGACCAATACTGTTATCATAATTTTATTCATACCTGTAGGACGGTTACTATGCAAATCTCAACTAAAAACATTCCTCGCGAATGTGGACCCTTGATTAGGGATCAATGCAGCTAACGACCGATTGTTGATACAATTTTGGGCTGAGGTGTGTAGGAGAACACACATGCTTTGACACTTTTAGGTGACAGCGTTTACCCACTTACTACCGCGTCACGGACCTTTAACACGGTGGCGCCGCGTACTTCGCACGTATTACTAACTACGGCTAGACTTCAGACATCCACCATTTAATTGTCCGTGTGAGGTTGAGTTTGGGATAGAACCCGAGGATGGAGCCGAGCCGATGGAGGTCGATGGCTGAGGTGGTTGGTAAGTGCAGCCGACGTAAATAACTTCACCACTACGATTACTGGTACGTACCCCAACCCCCTAACTCATTGTCTACTGCACTGTGAGTACTAGGTCAACTCGTTGGGCCATTTTCCTCGGCAAGTAAGCGCACTCCTTTCTGAGCTATATTGACGCGAAATTTACCACGGCTAGCGGTGCTTCAAAAAGAGTCATGCCTCGTTCAGTGCGAGGCTAACCCCATTAGCTGATGGCTCCGCGTGTCCCCCGACCCACGACCGAACGCCGGAAGGGATAGAGCTGGGTAATGACACTGTGCAACACAGATGCCCCATAGCTCAAGAAACTCCATTATGCCGCGGCGAACTGTCGAGATCACTTATACGCAATGATAGCTCGTCAACCTGACCATGTTAGTCACCACAGTCAACGTCGATCAGGGTGATAGTCTTATCTCCTTTCTCAATCGTTGCACTTCTTTGTCGTCCTCTATCTCAATCCCTACCAAGGGCGTGTTAGCCACCTGCTTATCCAGAGACATCTTCTCCGACCTCAACGTGGCGAGGTCCTGACAAACTCCAACTGATAGAGAACACAGCGGAGCTCCTTCACCTTTTTTATATCGTTCAACTCTTTCTCGCGTTTAGTTCGCAATCGCCGTAACCGCTTCAACTCGTGTCGAAGTGCACTCACTTCTTCCCTCCTACTTTTCAGAAGACCCCTATGTAGAAATCAAACGTCCCACTTCCGAACATCTCAACAGTGAGCTCTTTCTTACTCGGTCCTCTCTAGCTCAGGCATGTCAACCATCTCCATCAAATAACGTTCATGCGTAGTTCGACTTTCACCAACTGCCTGCAACTCCGCACACGCTTCCTCGTACTGACATCATCATCAATGATGATTCATCATGCATACTCCTCGACAAGGGTCCAGAGCTACCCGTCGACGCTCTTCCTCTATCTGTGAGCTCAGGAGTATATCCAACTCGCTTCTGGCCGTTGAGCTGGGTTCTGCGTTGATACCCACCCTTCGCACTCCATGACCATCAGCTGATGATTCTGGCGAGGAGGACTCAGCCGCTGGTTCCAAGTCGAGCATTTTACCAGACTCTTGTACCTACCGAGAAATACTGAGAACTCAGCAGCTATTCGTTTCTGCACCCTACAAGCCGTCGATGCACAAATGCGTCCCTCTCATAGTCCCAAATCCGACCGCTGGACACCTCCACGCAAAGACTATGTCCAGTTTCCAACGCATGGTGCTTAGCACAGGCCGCCTTAGTGTATCGCCCACACCCCACATGACCACATACAAGGCAAACCTAGAAATGGGAATACCTCAGCTCGAGGGCTTCGATAGCAGGACCTTACCCACATTGGAGCTTCCCGAGTATGCATAGCCTCCCACTGTTCACACTTCATAGTGGCAGCAGGCATCAGCATTTTCTCGCAACATGCACACCAATCTACGAAAGCAATAAGTGACCAACTTCCAAGCGAAGAACTACCTGCTCGGTTTGAACCAGACGGCATCTCGAGCCATCCGTGCTTGCCAGTAATAATACCGGTAACGGTCACATCCAAACGCTCAAGACAATATGGACACGATGGCAACTATCACGACATGACAACTATGATGAAGCCCTGCAAGTCACCGGTCCCTACCGGAGTGCCGCGGCCCTGTCTGACGCTAGCATTGGCTCTGAATTCTTCTATGCCTTTGGAGGTGCTCACTCGCAGTTCACTCAGGAATACGACGTAACAGACTGGGCCCGCAGTATGTCTCGACCCTGACCCGCCAAAGTGCCTCGCAACAGAATGATACGGAATCACAGTGAAGTCCAGCAGCCAACTACTCACCTGTTATGATAGCGGTTGTAGAATTTGTCAGCTGCACTCTGTGACTGGAAGTAGATGAGGACACTACCTATGCCTGAACACGAGTGAGAGTCTGATCCACACTCTGACAAGCCAATCGATAGGAGGCTCATAATACTGCCTACATGTGGTATTCGTGTTATCGGCGAGTTCAGGGTAGGAGTCGTAGATTAAGTAAGACGCATGCAGTATACTGTCAGCAAATTCTTCCAGCCACGACGTCACGTCTGACTAAATCAAACGCGTCATCACACATCGCTGAGGTGCATACCGTTTCAATTCAACGGCACTAAACTAACTACTACTCAGAACTGGAAGTTGAATTGAAGTGTAGACTGCAGTGGCCTTACCCGATCCGTGATGCCAAGCAGGAGAACCTCACGACTCCGCTGCAGCGGCAGGGTGTTGACTCCATCGAAAGACCCTTCGACTCCATCACGATAGAGTATCAGCCGACCTGAGACCCTATGAACAACGGAAACATAGAGTTTACTTCATAGATAAACAGAGACGATCTCGACATGAATCGAGTTGTTCACATTGACTTCCGAAACCGGTTGAGAGATGCAGAAACTTCCTACAGTGTGGGGCGGGCTTGTCCTCGAACATGTCACTAACATCACCATCATCATCACTCCTCGAATCAATGGAATCTTCTCTACTATCGAACCCGCCACAAATGTCCATATGATGCAATCTCCTGATCACGTGAGTCCCCTCGCCCCCTGTCGTGGTACTACATCGAATTTTCTGATTCGAAGTGTTTCCGCCACCTGTTGATAGCAGGAAAGGACTTTTCTGTCGCGACTCGCGATAAACCATACCCAGTCGGTACCTTGTTGTTAATCCCCCCCAGGTGGCTGTGGTGATGCAGAACAAGTGTCGTCTTGTGAAGAAGAGCCTCGAGGACCAGATGGGGAAGAAGACGGCTCGTCAGGTATGTGCGAGAGTTTGGGGTTGATAATGTGCTTCATGGGGTTGCAGGTGAAATCGGGGGAGGATGAGGCCGAGCCGATGGAGGTCGATGGCTGAGGTGGTTGGTAAGCGCAGCCGACGTAAATAACTTTACCACTACGATTACTGGTATCTTACAACGAACTCGTCGTTTCGACGTCTTGGTAGAGGTCAGTCTTGAGTTGTGGTGATGCGGGAATGGTAGTCTCATGGTAGTCTGTAAGGATACGTACAAGCCGTTACCTCATCCTGTACTTGAGGTGGAGTAGACAGACGTAGCGAGATGTGTATGGCAATAGGGGAAATGGGAGGCAGACGGGTGCAAGAACAGTTCCTTGATGGGGAAAGGGTACAAGACAATTGAGGATGTCCGTTTGGGCATCATTGTTTAGTCCGCTTCTCTGTCCTTCTTTGAGGGGGCCAGTGTTGGAGTTAAGGATAGCGATGGTGCATGCAGGACCAGGTTGACCGGTGCAAGGGAGAAGCGAGGGGGGTCGGAACAGCTTCTATGCAGAAACGGTGAGGACTTAACCATTTCAATGAGGGAGTTACTGTAGACGATGATAAGTCAATGTCGGCAGGACACGGCTTCAACCACTGATAGATTATAGTTGTTAATTGTGGTGTGGTAGAAGCATATTCTCCAAAGGAGGAAGGTGTCAAGAAGTTTATCAGTGACTATGGCGCAGTTTGGTTGTAGTGCATGCGAGGGGTGACAGAGAGGCAGAGCCACATTAACCTCAATTCTTTGAAATACTATAATAGACGTTTGAACGGAGATTCTTCTGATGCATCGACTGTCGATCCACCTCCGATCGGCTGTGAAGGCACAACGGCCCTTGCGAACACTGACGACGTCTGACGACAATTCTGAGGTGAGGCTTCTATCTGTCCTGGGCGCGAGTATTATTATCTCAGCTATCACACATGACAAATGTCGAAGTTACCAGACGAATGAGGGCGGCGAGAGACAAGGCAGATTCAAAGGAGTTGTCGAAAACGGCCAAGCAGGAAGGTATCATACCCCAGCCATATTCGGAGGCTCATTCGCTTTCTCAGCTTTGGCGACCTTGCACGCCCTATACCAAGAAAGCCTGTCGTCAATCCGCCGACTGCATTACAGTAGCTACGAGTTCTCTGAGCTGGCCCTGACGGCAGCTAGAGCACCGAGTACTGGTGGGGCGGCTGAGGAAGTCCTTCGGATGGTATTAGGCGAAGTTATCAACCGCCAGGAGCCGGTAAATTGCCGTGGGAAACGTGAGTGGACATGAAAACGTTAGCGGAGAGGATTGGGAGATTTGCAGTTGGTCGGAGTACATATGATCTGATCACTCGAGCTGCCAACGACCATACCTCGGCCCGAGCCGGTGGGGACTTTTCTGAAAACGTACCACTCAATCAAGGGTGGACCATGGTCACGTTGAAAAACCTTACCGCGGGCTTTTGCACTTCTAGGGGACTACGAATCATGGCGGAGAAGTCCCTCGGTGGGAAACTCATTGCAGAGTATGTTGGTGATCGAGTGGTAGGAGCTGGCGGGAAGAAAGTCTAAGATCTTATAGTTCTATAGGTATTGGCCCCTGAGGCCGCCGTGGAGCTCAGTAGTGGTCTTTCTGGCAGAGGAGCCGTGCAGATGTTGACGGGTCTATGCAACTACACCATACATTACCCCAAACTTGATGCTCATGGGTAAGAGGCTTGTCGCCTTTCTGTTTACCTAGCCGAGTACTTAGATATGAGGCATTGAATGTGCGAGTGTGGGCGCGACTTCTTGGCTTGGCTTCTCGTCACTCGGTGACAGAACTGGCTCTTAGCGACTTTGCTATTTTGTATCGGAAAGTACGTATGGGTTCATTGACAGTGTACTAGTAAGGAAATGGCTATTCTCAGATAGCAGAAGTATTACCACATCTAGATGAAGACAGTCGACATGACGTTGCTCGAGCTGCTGAGTGGTTATTGATGTATGCTGAGGACGTGACGTGAATGATTCTCATGTTTCATTCTGTTTCATATCACATCAGTTGCTTTGCGTTCGACAGAATGACGGAGGGATGCACACACTGTGTGCCACACCGTCCACTCGTGGTTAATTGGTTAGTTACAATGAAATTTGGAGCCCGGGATTAGTGTTGCGCAAGCGCGCTGAGAGTGACACTGCGTTCGGCACTCGAGCAAAGCCCTACTAAATGCGTCACTCGCAGTTCAACCCTCTTGCCTTCTGATTGTCCACTAGGATCAAGTTTCGGGCTACTTGTGCTTGCAACTCAGACTTGTAAATCACTTTTTGGAAAACTTAATTTCTGAATTCGGACACGAAAGTGCGTCCTTTTCATCCTCTCTCGGGA